ACTCCAAGATGCCCTGTTTGTCAGAGGAAATCCTTTTCTCAGTTGTGTTGCCAGATGTTAGGTCGACAAAACATACATAGGAATTTTGCGATTCTCTTTCTTTATTTGAATAACAAAATAAGGCTTTCTGCTAAAACAAAAGTCAATCGTCAGTGGTCTAAAGTTGAAAACAAATTTGCACTAAACAGCATATTGTTAGATCTATATCAAATGTATCATCTTGGTGATATATAGTGCATCTTTTTCAGGTGACTCAGATTTAGCTCTCAGTACTACACTGTGATGTGTGACTTACCAGCTTCATTGATGCATGTCCTATGCTGTTTGCTGCTTTCTATGTGTTTAACATAGAATATCAGACTGGGACTGCTGCCATACTCGAGTTCATACAGAGGTAATGAAACGTGTATTTTAACAAACTGTTGAATTGTTGGAGACAAATATGACTAGGGAAGTTCTTGTAATCGGGTTGAAAAAACCCCTCAAAGCCAGGAGCAGCAGTTCTGCATATTTACCTTAAATTGTTGTACAGAGCTATGTCCCTTAACAGCCAGGTTCTACGTATCGTGGATTGGAAGCCTAGATTCACTGATAACAGCTTTTACCCTTGTCCCCTTGTGCGTGTTAAAAGTATATGAAACCTGTCTCATTGACCTACCCACCCCCAGTATCAAGCTGAAAGATTAATTGCAGATATTGTTTTTCCTAAATATGTAATTTAGTTCTATTATCATGGCCGAGATCGGTTGTGAAAAGCTGTAACGACCTTTTAATAATACAGAAACAATGATTCCATGTCATTTCTTCATTTCCGGTGCTTCGTCCACATTAATCCAGGCAAAGGATCCAAGCTTGCAAGGGAAAAAGAAAGAAGACAGTCATGAGTGTGAAAGTTCTCAAGCTCAGCAATGAACTTGCCGACTTTAAATGGATCGAGGCCTGAATGGTCAAAGTCTGTTGCTAACATCTGCTGTAATAACGATAGATCTTGTCGGCTGACATTAAGGGTCTGGTCATACATTAACGCAGGGGCTGCGGTGTGGGGGTGGATGTCGGCGAAGTGGAAAAAAGTGCAGTTGATACGAGGAGAGCCAATAAAATGGCTCCGGTTAAATTTTGCTTCGTTTTTCTTAAATTTGAGCATTATTTGGGGACTGTCATGTCATGTTGGAAGGGGGCTCAAGTGGGAGGAATTGGGTCATAACAACAGTTACGTGTATTTGGGGGTGATATATTTTATATACAAAGGCAGAGTTAATAGCTGGAGAAGAAACAAATTATTTCTTGTTTTTTTTGTGTTTTATTTCGGTTTTTTTACACTTTACCTAAATCGGCCATGAGCTGTTGTTTTCATCATCTTTCACCAAATGAAAGCACATGTATGGGTTATTCTGCAGTTATACTCTTGAACAGTTTAGAGATGTCAACCACCATAAATGAACCACCCAAGATGAAGTACTCAGATGCATTGGACTCAGATGCATTTCTTGCTGAAAACGTCCTTTGGGTCTTCTTTTGTTGACAAAGACATGGATCAGGTTGCAGCATCCTCTTACAGAGGTTGGAAGGAATTAGGTTGAGGTTGGGGCAGTTGTTTTTTTTTTTTAATTCACCATACATATTCTGATAGTAAAGTTTAAAAGTAAGTAGAAATACAGGAAGGTGCAGAGCTCATTTAACGGTAATTATTACGGTAGTGTACTGTAATATTTTACGGTAAATACTATTACAGATTGCTGTTATTTTTTAAGGTATACCGTGTTTTACGGTAAAGTTTGGCAGCCCAGCTCAAAAATACGGGAAAGTTTTACAGTGTTCTCTGTCATCAAGAGAACTTCTAGCCTAGTACCTAGACTTTTTCAACGAGTACGAGGAAACACGAGTATTTCTATGCGTGCATTGACGACATTTACTTCAACAAACGCCACCCCCTTGCATAGATCCTTGGGGGCACTTGACATAAACATTACCATGGCGACAAATCCACAGCAATCCCCATGTATACCGCCACTGTTATGCGTTGCCAATCACGCTTTAAAAAACTTAAGAAGAAGATATAAACATGACAACCCCCACCTTCAGCCCAGTCGTTCTATCCTGGGCCATTGAGCCTCTAAGCGTTTCATGAGTAAATCAAAGCTGGGGAGTTGAGTACAGCGGGCTGTTATTTACATGGGGGATTTCCTGTGAGATATGACGCATCGCGGGATTACAGAACATAACAGGGTTGTGCATACAACGTCAAATTCAGGCTACGTCCTTATGTCTATGCACCATATCCTGCACACCGTGTGGTTATTGGGTGTTAGAGTGGGCGGTGTACATGTGGTGCAGATGTGGTGGTATAGAGACGTTGTAGAGGTAGGGTAGAGGTGGATGAGGGGTGATGTTGATGTGGGTGTGGCAGTATAGAGGTGGATGAGGGGTGGTGCTGATGTGGGTGTGGCAGTATAAAGGTGGATGAGGGGTGATGTTGATATGGGTGTGGCAGTATAGAGGTGGATGAGGGGTGTTGCTGATGTTGGTGTGGCAGTATAGAGGTGGATGAGGGGTGGTGGTGATGTGGGTGTGGCAGTATAGAGGTGGATGAGGGGTAATGTTGATGTGGGTGTGGCAGTATAGAGGTGGATGAGGGGTAATGTTGATGTGGGTGTGGCAGTATAGAGGTGGATGAGGGGTGGTGCTGATGTGGGTGTGGCAGTATAAAGGTGGATGAGGGGTGATGTTGATGTCGGTGTGGCAGTATAGAGGTGGATGAGGGGTGTTGCTGATGTTGGTGTGGCAGTATAGAGGTGGATGAGGGGTGGTGGTGATGTGGGTGTGGCAGTATAGAGGTGGATGAGGGGTAATGTTGATTTGGGTGTGGCAGTATAGAGGTGGATGAGGGGTAATGTTGATGTGGGTGTGGCAGTATAGAGGTGGATGAGGGGTGGTGCTGATGTGGGTGTGGCAGTATAGAGGTGGATGAGGGGTGATGTTGATGTCGGTGTGGCAGTATAGAGGTGGATGAGGGTGTTGCTGATGTTGGTGTGGCAGCATAGAGGTGGATGAGGGTGGTGGTGATGTGGGTGTGGCAGCATAGAGGTGGATGAGGGGTAATGTTGATGTGGGTGTGGCAGCATAGAGGTGGACGAGGGGTGGTGCTGATGTGGGTGTGGCAGTATAGAGGTGGATGAGGGGTGGGGCTGATGTAGGTGTGGCAGTATAGTGGTGGATGAGGGTGGTGCTGATGTGGGTGTGGCAGTATAGAGGTGGACGAGGGTGGGGCTGATGTGGGTGTGGTAGTAAAGAGGTGGATGAGGGGTGGTGCTGACGTGGGTGTGGCAGTATAGAGGTGGATGAGGGTGGTGCTGATGTGGGTGTGGCAGTATAGAGGTGGATGAGGGGTAATGTTGATGTGGGTGTGGCAGTATAGAGGTGGATGAGGGGTGTTGCTGATGTGGTTGTGGCAGTATAGAGGTGGATGAGGGGTGATGTTGATGTGGGTGTGGCAGTATAGAGGTGGATGAGGGGTGGTGCTAATGTGGGTGTGGCAGTATAGAGGTGGATGAGGGGTAATGTTGATGTGGGTGTGGCAGTATAGAGGTGGATGAGGGGTGTGCTGATGTGGGTGTGGCAGTATAGAGGTGGATGAGGGGTGATGTTGATGTCGGTGTGGCAGTATAGAGGTGGATGAGGGGTAATGTTGATGTGGGTGTGGCAGCATAGAGGTGGATGAGGGTTGTGCTGATGTGGGTGTGGCAGTATAGAGGTTGGACGAGGGGTGGTTCGGTTGTTCATGTGGCAGTATAAAGGTGGACAAGGGGAGATGTTGACGTTGATGTTGCAGTATAGAGGTGGCAGTAAGGAAGTGGACGAGATATGGTGTGCATGACTTTGTCGCTGCAGGGGCGGATACAGCTTTTTGAGAAGGGGAGGGAAGGGGGTGGGGGTGGGGTGTTGAACAGTTCATTTTCGCCTGTTTCCACGAGTGTTTCAGTGGTTATTTAATAAACTTTCAGGACCAAAGGGGTGGGTGGGGTGGATCCGCCTATGCGCTGCATATATAGAAGAGGACGATAAATGTCCAGGTGAAATCTCGTTCGATAACACCAGCATACGGGCGCACGTTTACTTCCCTGTAGTGCACCCCTATATTGGCATTCAGTCCCTCAAATATAGCTACCTGGTTCAAAATAGCAGTTGTTTTGCGCACAAATGCACGCGTACACATAGAGTACCTGTCTATATGTCAGAGTAAACTAAGGCGGCATCAAACAACCCATACCATGTTGAAGATATAGGAACAACTGGATATTATATCATATACGAACCCAGCGTATTTGGGAGATAGGTATAGTATGACCAGAAATTATTGACAATTTTAGGAATATGTTTAATTGGATTTCTAGTATAAACAACCTTGGCCGGCTATGAAGTGCTTGAAGTGAGTAATGAGTGAAAATTTAAAAAAAAATTACAATCTTAAATTCTCAATAATTTCTGGTTATACATCTGAGCTGATAAATCCATGTTAATTCCGAATACGGGTATTTCTGGTTGTTTGTGCTACATATGGATATTTGTAAAATGTAATATATCAATTCAATAGGTTTCCAAAGCATGAAAATTAAGTGTCCAATATCAAACAAAGGGTTAATCAATATGTGAGTAAGATCGCGGCTAACTTCGAATCCCCTTCCTCACCAACCGTTATAACGCTCAGGTATTTTCAAACGATAAGAAGATAAACATTGATGACAAGTCATCGTTAAGAAAATCCGCTAAGTTGAAAGATCTGCAAAAAGCTAAACTGATCGATAGGTGTAAGACCAAGTTACTGTGACAGCGTACTTCACCGTAGACCTGTTTGGACGGGGAGGCTACCCTTGTTCCCGCCCCTAGCCGCCTCTAGCACTGTAGATATGTAGCCCTACACAGACGTATCCTGGAGTCAGGTAAAGTAACGCTTCTGCAATGTGATCAGGGTCAACGCGTGCTGGAGCCCAAGCTCTTAACACATCCATGCCATTGGCTTCGAACAGTGTGATGAGTTCAGTGTAGGTACACGGCGCACGACCACTACAATGATGTCGACGTGGTTCCTGTTGCCGTTCTTGGTGCTGGTGGTTGGATGCACTGCCATTGGTGCGAAAGGTGAGACGGTACTGAAACCATTTGAAGATTATTTCGTTCAGTTGGATAGGCAAGTGGATTGAGGACCTGCCTGTATGACCGAATGCCTAGATTAGATTCCTATGGCCATATTTAATGTACGCTGGAGTACCTCACTGGATAGTGATTGAGAAGCGGTGCAAACACATGCAAACATGACATAAAACGAATTGATAATTGGATGAGAATTGTTGTAGGCGAGGACGTGGTCTTATAGAAGTTATGTGATACATATTTGCGTTAGTTGATACAGAGATTGTGTGATATAGAACGGTATTAGGTGGTACAGAAGGGTGTGAGGCGGTGGTGGTGGTGCTGATATTTTTAAGGCCACAGTCAACATTACCTAACATATCGGGTGTCATCATTCGTCGTGTCAGCCTAGTCAGTAGTTCCAGACCTTTTACATTGCGTCGGAACTTCTACGGACCCGAACCATCTCTTTAAAAGTTTGTTGAACGACTGAGTTTCGTCTTTAGTTCTTCATATCCCTTTGAGAGAAACATACACAACCACACAGGTCTAAACCCTAGGGTGAAGATAATGGTATGACAACTACGATCAATGAAGTGTGGAACCTAGGTTTCGAACTCGTGGTTGGAGGTGGTTACAAGGTTAAGTTTAGTTTTTAAGACTTGTTTTCCGATTTCCTGGGTTCCATCCGCTTCCTTTGATGGTAACACATTCTGAATATTCATAAAACATTAAGTCTTTAACAACAGAATCTGAACAGGAACAATGAAATGAAAAACAGTGTTTAGCAATAAATTACACAATCATAAAACATACTGATGGCATGTTGCTGATAACAAGGTTAAACTATTTCACTAATTAAATGACGCTTTTTGCTACAGGATACTGGCGCTTTGCTAACCTTCCGCAGACTATAAATGTATCTGAAAATGCCTCACTTGGGATGACGGTTTTCGTTGTGCAGCCGCCTGTGGCGGGGATGACGTACACGATGACGCCGGCTTCCAGCTTCTTCATCAACGCCCTAGGGCAGGTGCAGGTCAGCGCTGTCTTGGACTATGAAGGCCCCCCTACAGGCACCAGCTATAGTTTGTCAATAAGGTGAGATGGTCATTTGAAGGGAGAAAGTACTAAACTAATTTACAACATACATCCTATTGGCGTTTTACGTCATTACTCTGGTTGGACGTGGTGGCATAAGGTTAACTATACCGGGACGTGTGTGTGATTCTTTTTTTGTTTGTATATATGCCTGAGTGTGTGTGTGTGTGTGTGCGTGCGCGCGCGCGCGTGCGTGCCTGAGTATGTGTTTTGTTAATGGTAAATGTGCGTGTATGTGCGTGCCTACCTGTGTGTGTTTTATTGTTTGTATATGTGCCTGAGTGTGAGTGTGCGTGCTTGAGTGTGTTTGTGTGAGTGAGTGTGTGTGTGCGTGTGTGCGCGCGTTGTTTGTATATATGTCTGAGCGGGCGTGTGTGTGAGTGAGCGTGCGTATGATATTGCTGGCATATTGCAAAAAAGCGGCGCAAACCCTTACTCACTTAATTGAGTGCAACAGTGAACAACAAACACAAAATATTAAATGATTGATATTGCCTACAATATAGCGCACTTAGACATGTGTTACTGATGTGTTGAAATCTGTGTAACAATCTGGTAGGATTCCATCACTTTGCGTTACTAATGTTGGAGGGAGACCTTACGTGCTGCGGGTGTTTGATATTTCCCATCTTCGGTGTTCTGTAGAGCCACCATCAAAGCCGGCACGACCTGCAAGGGCACCCTGACTATTTTTGTGACCAACGTGTTTGATGTTCCTCCAACTCTGACGTCTACCACGGTTGTTGTGACGGTGGAGGAGGAACTGTCCTCTCAGATCCTGCACCTTACCGCTACAGATGTTGAGACGCCATTTGGAGATAAACTATCCTACACTTTATCAGGTATGACCGGGCAATCGTGGCCCAAACGGAGGAACCACCTTCCACTAACACAACTAAGTGAATACACTCCTTTATGCGCAAGCTGAAATCATCCACTGGGTTATATGTCCGTATAACGAAACATGATAATTGTTTATTCTACGCAGGGTATCATATATTTTCACAACACCACCACACATTGTATTGACCTACTTAGTCTGAATATGGAGATGATATACATTATTTGGCAACATTTCTGAAACTATTTAAGCTTTAGAATGAAAGCAACATCATTCACATGGCACAATGTACGCTACCTTAGAAACATGTTTAATTTGTCTCGAAAATAAAATCTAGAACCCTGTGATGAAATGTGGTCCGAAAATACGGGTGGCCCAAATCTGTACTCTACACCTCAAACGAGAAAATTAATATTTGTCTTTTGAACCACACGCCTGTGTTTGCAAGATGAACGTTCTTTCAAAACGAATTTTATTTCCGGGTGTTTGAAGATTAGTGGAAAGAGGATTCACCTCAAAGGATTAAACACAATAGCAACCAGGTTTCTAAACAACAAGTTACACATACAAATTATTTTGGATGGATTACATATGTACTCAAATGGCACTCACTGAGTTATTAATGATGCATGACCGAACAAAACATGCCAGGACCAAGACAGGGGGGATCGTGTAGCCAGGTGTGGAAGGAAGTGAGGGTGGTCACCCAGAAAATCGCTGACCACTAATTGTTTTGTCTTGATATATTACATCGCTTCTTTCATTCCAGGCCCCAACAGTATGTTCTTCGCTATAGACGGGAGTACGGGGAATGTATCAGTACGGAGCCCCATTGATTACGACGCAGGGTACCACACTCTGTCACTGACCGTGTGGGTGGAGGACTTGGGAGGCAACACCGACCACCTGGACATAACCGTCAATATAGAGGACGTCAACGACAACGCTCCAACGTGTACACCATACGTTCATGTTGCAATCCTAGAAAATGCAAACAGTGGTACATATTTTGTCAGCTCTATTTCGCTGTATGAAAAAGCCCATATTCAGATAACGTCTTGAATCTTGAATTCACGATATTTTCAGCCAGACTATTATAGAAAGATCTGGTACCTGTTTTCTATAACATGGACCGTTATAAAGTATTTGCATGAATTTGCAGACTCTGTCGTGGCTTCCCTTGTCTGCGCCGATGGCGATGCCGGTGCCACAATGTGGTGTAATATTGTTTCCGGGGACCCCAGTTCACAGTTCATCACGTCAGGGATGTTAGTGACGACTGATGGTTCCCTTGATTACGAGACGACGTCTTTGTACACCTTGACCGTCCACGTCTACGACGACCACAATGTATCGGCACGTCACACCGCTTTCGTCACCATCGTCGTGCAGGTTCACAATTATATGCATTTCAGTTCTAAAAAATATACATGTATTTGATGAAACAATTTTAAACATCGAATGGCACATATTGTGTTCTACTGAATATAAAGGCGTACTATCATCTAAGTATTCTAGTACGTATTTTAGCGTGAACAGTATTGTACATCTCACCATGCACAACACGCCAGCATTGTCGTTCCATCCACAAATGTCTTTGTCTCAATCACGTATATATGTGCACATATCTTTTATGCCTACACACGAGACTAGAGCCATAAAACCACAGCATGATGTTCCTGTGTACCATCCAGAAAAGTGCATAAACACGTGGTAGGTGACCGTGTGCCATTATTGTGATCCATTTTCATGCGTGTGATGTAGTAATGTTTCGCTCAGGTTGAAGACGTCGACGACAATGCCCTTGTTTGGGTGACGTTGGAACAGACCATTCCCGTGTCGGAGGCCGTCGTTCCTGGCTCCCCCTTCTTCACTGTACTAGCGGCTGACCCGGACACAACTCCCGGAAGTACCGTCACTTACTTCATCACAGGAGGTCATTATGTCTCTGTGTTCCCCCTGTCTGTATGAAGGTTGTCCCCTCCCAATCCTCTCTCCATCTGTCACATTCTGTCTGTCAGTCAATCCACCCCTCGTCCGTCTCCGTGTATTTCTGTCTGTCTAACCCCTTCCCCCACCCACCCCCCAACACACACACACGCACGCACACACACATCAGTTTGTACACTTGCGTTGTTTCACATGGTCATTGTCCACTGTATGGCGTAATGGATTCACGTTGTTCTGTCTTACCTCAGGTGCAGGCATGGGCAATTTCAAAGTCGGTTCTCTAACTGGAGAGTTGTCTGCCCTTGTGGCCTTGGATTATGACGGTACCGTTGACTCCTACGACCTTGAGCTGATTGCAAGTGATGGCCTTCATAACACATCAAGTCTAAATCTGACCCTCAGCGTCCTGGACGTGAACGACAACGTCCCCGAGTTCCAAGGGACACCGTACACATTTTCCGTCATGGAGAATGCGTCCTTCTCAACTTCTGTAGGAACAGTAACTGCAAATGATTCCGACGGAGGACAAAATGGAGAGTTTATGTTTTCCTTAGATGTGTTTCTGCAAGGAGCGCCGTCCCATTTTACTATTGACCAGAACAGTGGCGTGGTCAGGACTACAGGGGGGACTAGATCGGGAGAGTCAGGACGTCTACGTAGCTTTGGTCAAGGCTATAGACAAAGGCCAACCTCGCCAAACAGGAACTGCCACCATCGTTATACATGTCACCGACATCAATGACAACTACCCTGTGTTCAGTGCCACCACCTACAGGGGATCTGTCATGGAGCAACAGGTCAACCCCAGTGTCCTCACAGTGTCCGCTACAGATAGGGATATCGGCAACCACTCTCGGATAACATATTCCCTAAATTCCCTTCATTCAGGACATTCATCCCATTTTTTTTATAAATAGCTCCACTGGTACAATTTTACTCAATACAACGGTAGACCGAGAAGAAGACCCCACCATCACCTTGTACGTCCTCGCAGTCGATGGCGGGACACCAGCGTTCACGTCAACAGCGACAGTGATAATTGACGTGGAGGATGTTAACGAACCGCCACAGTGGATGACGACGGCTAACGTGTCCATTGCTGAAGGTCTACCGGTCGGGGTACACGTCGCCACAATTGCAGCGGTAGACGAAGATTTCGGGATTGGAGGCACGGTGTTGTATCGGATTACGGACATATCGGCAGGTAAGTTCCAAGTTGATGTTCCTGATGGTTCAACACGTAATATTGGCTGGGTGGATGGGAGGGTGGGTGAAAGGGTGGATTGATAGATGGACGGATGGATGGATGGATGGACGGGCGGATGTGTGGATGGATAGGTGGTAGATGGATGGATTTATTGAGGGGATGGGGCGGAGCTTCCATGTTTCAACGGCTTGAAGAATTGCGTAATTTCAGTATATTTTCTTCATATTGACTTAGGTAATGGCAGTCCTTCCTCTGGGGTGTTTGTCGTGAATGCAGTTACCGGGGAGGTCCGGACTACACGTGTCTTGGACTGTGACCTAGGCATCAGATCATACACCATCACCTTCAATGCCACCGATGGACTCGGAATGACCGCTTCACACAACTTCATGTTGACCGTCACCTTGACCGATGTCAATGACAACAGCCCAGTGTTTGGCAGTATCACCTACTCATTTACAATAGCAGAGAACGTGAAGGTCGGAACAACGGTAGGTACGGTGTCCGCGTCGGATGCAGATATAGGAAACAAGACTGTGAGGTACAAAACAGATAAGTTCCTAGAAGGCGAATCCTCGCATTTTTCCATCATCAGTACCAGTGGCGTCATAGTGACGGCAGGTAGACTTGACAGAGAGACCAATGACAGGTACGTGTTCGTGGTGGTTGCCCAGGACACCGGCGTCCCTCCGCTAACAGCTTCCACCACCGTCTCTACGACAGTCACAGATGTCAATGACCACGCGCCACAGTTCAGCTCAGCTCTGTACTCTTGTTGGTTGGTAGAGGACGCCCCAAAAGGCAGCTGCATTACGTCGGTGACGGTGACGGATAAAGACGTGAGCATCAGCGGCAGCATAACGTTGTCTATAACATACCCTCCGCCTGCTGTTGACATATTCAGCATAGAGTCAGCTTCAGGAAGGATTTGTCTCCGTAAGACCGTAGACAGGGAGGATAGGTCCTTTTATGTGTTCACCGTCCGGGCTGAAGATGGTGGATCACTCACGTCGACAGCCAACGTCACCGTCCATGTCGTCGACGTCAACGATAATCCACCTGTAATGTATCCGGGGTTTTACAATACTGAAGTTGCTTACACTGGCGTCTGTGGCAGCTCCATCACCACCGTGACGGCTACAGATGCAGACACTGGTGAAAATGGTCAAATCACGTTCTTCCTGGAGAGGAACGTGTTTAATTACCTGTTCACTATTGACCCAGATTCAGGTACTAGTATACAGGGAGTAAAGATCGAACCGATATTATGACATCATGTAAACGCGCATGTTACATCGATCTGAAGGCATATATAAACCAGAGGCCGATAGGAAGAACACTGCTAAACATCTTATTGTGTGAACCCTATCAAATCCGGATTAGAATGGGTCTTCAGCAACCCATTATTGTCGTAACATTGAATGGTCAAGCTCGCTGACTTGGTTGACACATGTCATCGTATCTCAGTTGTGTAGATCGATGCCAATGCCATTGATCACTAGATTGTCTGGTCCAGACTCGATTATTTACAGAGCGACGCTATATAGCTGGAATATTGCTGAATGCAGCGTTTACAACAAAGGGACAAACAATCTTAGTTTCTTAATCACTTTTTCAAATTAGGTGTTTCTAAAGAAGCTGCAAATGCATAGGAGTTTCGCAAATGTGGGTATAAACCAAATCTTACACATGTGCCCAAGTCACTAAAAGCACATGTACATATTTTGAGTTATGAATTTGTAATATTCATTTCTCTTAAGGAAAGTATTACAACAATTCTGTTACAACATTTCATGACTGTAAAGTATTCTGTTCTATCCGCATGTACCATTGACTCACTCACTCTCTCACTCACTCACTCTATCGATACAAATGGAAACACCATCTTTTCACTGAACATTTATCACACAATCTACAAGTGAAAGTGCGTCTCTAAAATCTACCTGTACCTAAACTTTGGACAACGATCACCGAACAGGCGAACACAGGGAAAGCAATACATAGTTTGACAAGATTGTTAAATCTATACTGCTTAGTTTACTGCAGAATCACGTCAGTGGGTATAGGTAGCCCTGTCGTCTAAAGGTTGCAGAGTTGCGCACATTAGATGAGCCCGGATCCGCTGATGGTTGGTTCGTATCTGTGATGAGCACCCATCATGATTTCCTATCATCATACTACTGCTCCTGGGTTTCATCAACGTAGGCGTTTCTCTCATAGGCAGCAGCTGGGCATATGTGATGTGAGTTGCTAGACACACCAATCATATACCTTGGAAATTGTATTAGGTTTAGAACAAGATCCTGATTTGTTTCCTTCCTTAGGAGTCTTTTCCATGAAATCTCAAGCTGGGAAGAGTTCCCGCTACATACTGACGGCCTCAGCACAAGATGGAGGGACCCCGTCACACAACGCATCCACGCCGGCCGTTATCCGCGTGGACACGTTAGATCTCAATGACGTGGCGGTCACATGTAGACTGAGCATAGACGAAGCTGCGTTTGAAGCAAACAGTGCAGTGTTCATACCTAACATAGCATCCATTGTCAAGATCAGCTACCCGTCCGCCGTTGTGAAAGTGTGGTGTGTGGAGACGAGGAGTGGCTCGGCGGTGATCCCGACATCCTCCAGGCGAAAGCTGCTGCAGTCGACTAGGCAAGTCCAGTTTTTCATTTACCAAACTACAATTGGGTAATTATGCAATGTACACATAAAACAAGTTGATTACATTTTGTTATGTTTGTGTGAAGATACCATTATATTGTGTGAAGATATCATATTATACTGATGCTCAAGATATGCCCCCAGAGGGGCTGTCTCATTTCATTGACAGATATACCCTTCACAACTGGTCGGTAGAATAAAGGAAGAAACCATGTGACTAGTTATAAACACAAATTTTAATTCATTTTCACCTGTCCAGATATTCTCACCAGATGTCACATTTTCATATTTCAACAAATGTCCAGAGTCACTAAAAGACGCCATGTTTCGTAACGACTTTTCATTCTTCATGTGCAGTTATAACGTGGCAAAGGCAGAAAATGGTCACTCTGAATTCTCTGTCGGAACAGGTTGCATTTGGTGTAAAAGGCAAAATATCGATAAAACGATTATGTAGACCGATCAGTAAGAATCACTAACGACATCGTGTTTTCGCGAAAAGGGTAAACATGGCCGGCAGCACCCGCCTTGTGTTCGGCAGCACCCGCCTTGTGTTCGGCAGCACCCGCCTTGTGTTCGGCAGCACCCACCTTGTGTTCGGCAGCATCCGCCTTGTGTTCGGCAGCACTCGCCTTGTGGTCGGCAGCACCCGCCTTGTGTTCGGCAGCATCCGCCTTGTGTTCGGCAGCACCCGCCTTGCACGTATTTGTTGCCCCACGCCCAATCAGTACTCCAGCCACGCGACCTCGGCTTGTTCACGGAGAAGGCAATCACGTATAAGAAACCAGAACAAGCAGGTTTTAGAGAAGGTTATTCAACAATTGATAATGTTTTTATCCTCCAAGCTATAGTCATTAAATACCTTAGTGTCAAAAGAGGGAAATTTTACGTACTCTTCGTTGACTTTGCCAATCCATTTGACTCAGTGCAGAGGCATAAGCTATGGAATCTTTTAAAAACTCATGGTCTAAGTATCAAAATGAATAAACCTTTATGTAGTATTTATGAGAATGTAAAGGTGTGTGTACGTATCAATAATGAAATTTCAAAAACTTTTATCAGCCACTTAGGAGTTAGACAAGGGTGCGTTTTGAGTCCGTTTCTATTTACCTTTTTCATTAAAGAATTAGCTACTCAAAATTAACGAGAACTGCAATCACGATATCCAGCTTCACCCCGATATAACCCAGCTATTCTTACTGTTGTTTGCAGATGATATTATTCTGTTTTCATCCACAGTCAAAGGTCTACAGAGACAAATTAATGAACTTGAAACTGTGATGAATGGAAATTAACGGTCAACAGAAATAAAACAAAAGATCTTGTATTTATGAATGGGGGGCAGTTGTCACGTAGTGAGTACTGCTCCTTTAAAGGAGAAACGTTAGAAACTACAGACTATATATATCTAGGTGTTTACTTCAGTAGGGATCTGTTATGGAAGAAACATTCAAATCAGGCAACAATCCAAGCAAAAAAGGCTTCTGTAAGTATTTTCAAACGCTTGAGTTTGTTGGGAAATATTTCATACCAATCATTTTTCCAAATATTTGATGTTAAAATACTCCCAATTTTATTACATGGTTCAGAAGTGTGGGGTTTACAAGAGTTTGATGTGATAGAACTTTTTTTTATATGCCTGTAAAACATTCTTAGGTGTGAAAATACGTACATCTTGCCTGATAGTATATGGTGAGTGTGGTCGGTTTCCACTTTATCTACACTCAAATATTAGGGCTATCAAATACTGGTTAAGACTTCTTGATATGCCTTCATACAGACCCCCCCGAAAACTGTTATAATAAGATGTTACTTTATGATAAAAATGGAAAGAAAAACTGGGTTACTGGAGTCAGAGAGCTACTTTTCAGTAGTGGTTATGGACAAGTTTGGCAAAATCAGAATGTGTATTCAAAATCAAATTTTGTATTGTCATTAACACAAAGGCTAAAAGATATGAATATACAGACATGGACTGCTTCACTGGCTTTAATAATAAGTGTTTTATTACAAACTATTTAAATCACAAATAATTCAGGAAGATTACCTTTTAAGATTAATGTTTAAAAGTTCCGAACTGCTCTTTCACGTTTTAGATGTTCCACTCATGATCTTTTATTGAAACGGGACGTTATAAAACATTAGTTGGGACCAAAGAATTTGTAATGTTTGCAACTTAAGTTCAGTTGAAGATGAGTATCATTTTCTGCTTGTAAGTCCCAGACAACCATTGTGCGTAAGCCGAAGGCGTTCGGTATCCAGCATACCTATCGGCGTTAGGGCACCGGATCCGCAGACAACGGATGTGCGGCTTCGGTGCGTAAGGTGCCCGAGATCCCATATGCACCCATGTGGGCAGGGTGCGGTCGTGGAAGAAGCGTTCAATATCCCAGTGCGGCATTAACGGCCAGGTGAAAAGGGCTTCGAAGGCGTTCTATCCGCATAACCTGATGGTACTGAGGGCACGAACTGAAAGTGGTGGAACTGATGTGCAGGCGTGGCGCGGCGTTCGTGGTGACCGCAGGCATGCACCCATTGCGGTACCGGAAGAAATCGGTATCCAGTGACAACTCCATGTGCGGCCGGGCGAGCGTCTGATCCCAGCGGTACAAATCCATTGCGGTGAAAGCGGGCTTCGGACGGCACCGGTATATCCGCAGGTTGCACCACAGGCGGGCTTTGGCGAGCAGCACCGCGGGATCCGGAAATAGCATAACCCAGCCGGTAGGCAAACTGGAGTACCGGGGATCCAGTGAGCAACTCCATGCGGTCGTGGAGGCACCGTAAGATCCGGCATGCAACCCATGCGTGATCCCATTGAAGCGGCAACCCATTAAAGCCGGCTCGGAAACCGGTGTTCGAACTGTCAGCGCACCCCATTACGGTAAAGTGGTCAACCGGGGAGGCACCGGCATTATCCAGCCGCGCGGGAAAACCATGATGCAGATCCATCGCAGAAGTGCGAACCTTAGCGAAAAATTTCCGTGAAACTGCAAAACGGGATCCATCAGCACAACGAATATGGCATGCAATAGTTCAGGGGAGGCAAAAATTATCCAGCAGACAACCTGAGGCAGGTGCGTGGCCGAAGGTACCAGATCCCAGTGGCATAACCCTGCTTCCGGTGGTGAAGTATCCGGCGAGGTTCTATCCGCCAGGACAAATCCATTGTGAAGTGGCCGGAGGAAAACCGGTAGATCCCAGCGATGCAATCCATTGACAATTACAGAAGTTTATTAATACGTTAAACCTAATCACATTTCAAATTTGATGTTATGACGGTTTGTCATAAAAACGTTGTATAACAAATTGTTATGTTAATGTTCATATCCTACACACAGTAACAGCGAGGGCTTCCCGCTGATTTGTGGCAGACACACCCGCGATATCCGATCCGGTTCGTTTCAGCAGTCCGTACGTTTCACTATCCGAATGTTTTGATGAAAAACTGCAGTTTCGGATTAATGCTGCCTGACTGTACTTGAAGTTGTCGCTTCAAGTGGTGTATACTATTGATGATAAGGTTTTAAGGATTTTTTACCCCTAATCCCATGAGTGTTGAGAAGATCAAGGACACTGAATGATGAATGCCTTAGATGCATTAACAGGACATACAAGACCTGAACGTCAGTTTCAACAATCGTCTATTTGTTTTTGTGCCTCCATTGCAGCAGGAGCCATGAAATATTTCCATATCGAGGCTGTAACCTCATACCACCTGGTGGTGACCCCTTGGGCGGAGACAACCGCTGGTATAGCAATCATCACAGTCAGCGTATTGCTCGGGGTCGTCCTCATCTCCGTTACCGTCGTTGTGATTTGCTACGCCTACAAACGCCGAAAGAGGTAGTATTTGTCCCCACGGACGCCATCATACGATCGTGTGGCAGTATGGAGTTGTCTTTCTAAGCCTGTGTAGAAAAAGTCTTTTCTAGGGGTGCCCTAGAGGAAAAGGTCCCAAGGTCCGGGTTCGACTCCCATTTTAGCAATATAAACCCATTTAATTCTTAAGGACATGCATGTAACGAGATGGTGTCAGTGACCCATGAACTTTGCAATGCCTATTCTTCCCCTATTAAAAGAGTTGTTACTGTCCGAGTTAATCGTCCGGATAAACATGTTCTCAGATTCACGGGTCAAGTCTGCTCTTCAGGGACTAAAGGGGTTCGGTTTCATTGAGATTTATTCTCGTTAAAGTCTTCAAACGTTAAAAGAGTGCTGCATGCATATAACGTGGATGTACAGAGCAGTGCAAATATTGACATCATCAGCCAGGTTGTTGTCGCACATGTAAAACTCACACTGTATCTCCTGGTAGGCCAGTGTCGCCCCAGCGCCCCAGCCACGTGTCCTCGTATAGGCGTCAGGACAAGAAGCCCAGTAAAGGTAATATCGTGTGCTTTCTCAGACCTGACGTAGGCACTGCACGCACACGCACACGCACGCACTCTAAGGCTCTCACTGGCAAAGGCACTGCACATGCACACGCACCCAGCCACGCACCCAGCCACGCACACACACACACACACACACACACACACACACACACACACACACACACACACACACACACACACACACACACACACACACACACACACACACACACACACACACACACACACACACACACACACACACACACAATCTCCTACAGGTTTATTCTTCAAGAATAGCAACAGTTGTATACAATTAAATTTTTAATTTAACTAATTGAACTACTGATGATGTAAGATCTATATGCACTGGGCCATTTTATTGCAGCGTTTGATATCGGCTATCTGAAGAAACATCCGCCCCCCGCTCTAATGTCACTTCCGCCTCCTGTAAGTATGAAGGATAAAGTGTTTTGGTTGTTGCTGTATGTATAGGGGCGTCTGTTGACCAATCATGTGACCATCTTAGATTAGTGAAGAAAATACATAGAGAGTCATTCTAGTCAATATTTAGAACGATAATGGAAACTGATTCAGCGTAGGATGAATGGTCTATAAAGAACTGATCAAGAGCTCAGTCCAACGCATCAGTTCTCAGAAAACCACCCACGATGGTGCATGAGATACAACCACATGCAATTTCCAGTACGTGATATAGCAGTGATGTTCGGTGTATGATATACCGTGTGTAGCATGCATTCAGTCGTGTAATCCTCTTGATATCTGTATGCATGCTGCACCTTATGTGTCTATTTACACTGAGCGGGTACTGTCTTTGGTGTTGATAACTTTCTTATGAGTTTATTTTAAATATAGAACATGTGTGGCGAAAACCTTGTTGACCTACAGATTACCCTCTGGGTTATACTGTTTGTTCTCCTCAGAGGAATCGGACTGGAGTACCCGAGAGACAATGTCTACATACGCAGTGTGCTCATAGGGTGCTATTTTATAGTACTGTCTAGCTGTCCATGTACACACATGGCTTTAGAGAGGAAGGAAACACATCAATTGTTTAAACTGACCACTACGTTTCGCATGACAGCTTCAATCTATCATTATGCAATTTATACTATTTTATATTTATTAAGGAGCTATTGACCCACAGCTAAACTACAGGTCTGTTTTGTAAAATCTTCCTGATGATCCCTACCCGTACACATAATGCACCTTTAGTCTAGTCTGATCGCAGAGCGGAAGGTTAGAAGTTCCCCAGTCGTGTCATAACGAAAGACGTTAAACGACGCTACTTATCGATACCCTGCCTGCGTTCGTCATAAAGAGGACTGGCAGGTCTGAGTGGAGCATGCATGTTATAATGCAGCATAGAATCCATACACCCGTCTTTAGTCCGGTCTCAAGCACCTGCTTAATGTTGAACACGAGGTCCATCCCCTTTTTACCCTACAATTGTAACCTCAGACATACACGGTGAAGCCCCTGCCTATGAAGACTGCCGAAGAGGGCATCACCAGCATCGACTACACCAACAAAGGCGGCAGGGGCAGGGTGATCAACAGGGACTTCCGTAGCACAGCTGGGGATGAAGGTAAGTCTAGTCACACGAGCATACAGTTGATAATGACAATACATGTAATAAAATACAATCATGATGCCTGGCCCGTGTTCTATGTAAAGCAGAGTAAAGCCTGCAGCTGCTTTTCAAGTAAAGTAGTTTTAATGTTGCGTTTTTGAAAATAACAACATAATATTTTGTCATTTTGTCGAGCTCACCTTGGTATAGTGCAAAGTCGTCTAAAGTACTGTCGGAAATGCTAGAAAAATGCTTTTTGACTTATATTTAAAATTCAGAGGTATTACAGTTACTTAAATAAGAAATATCACTTCAAGAAACATCTACCTAATGTAGACCGAGGGAATAAATTTTCAGACATGCTCTAATTTTTTTTTTTTAAAACTTAGAAAAATAAGGGGTAGTGGGATTGATACAAACATTTATTGCCTGTCATCAGCATCCACGGTATCGACAGGTGAAACTGACACCTGAGCACACGCTCGTGCGAGGGGTCAGCTCAATAGATGTTTTCTGCAAAATGTTGAATATGTGTACGTATAGTATACGTATCGGTTATGTAAGGGATCATTTGTGTATGTGTTTGTTTTGAAATAAACATACGAATTACTGTACATTGGAAAGAATCCTATCACTTGTGTTATCTTATCGACTGATTGTAGACATGTGCAACGTTTTAATAAATGTTTTGCATGTCAACAGTATATTTCATTGAAAAAATATGGATGTAACTCGGTCAGTTTAATCTAGTTGTGAACATTGGCCAAAGATTTAACGAAGTCACTGGTGTAGCTTCTTTAGAATATATATATATTTCTTCTCATACAGTTTGTAGACCGCCCGTCTAAGCACTCCCTTGTCAAAGTTGTCAAGGATGGTTTCACGTCCCAGTTTTGCATTTGAGCCGGTCCCTGTCTTGTCTGATTTGTTTTCAATATTGTAAACTTGTTGGTAAGACATGCCAACAGCTCTACAAGTTCTGTAATACACCCTTTCTAAACTAATGAAAGGTTTATCTCTGTCTTTTTTAAGCAGAAAAAAACTATAAACCTTTGCAACAATCGACTGCAAATCGTTGGCCATAGTGGACGCTGTGATAAATATGTGCATGCATGACGGGAAACTTATTTATCAAGACTTCACATTTATATAAATATTTTTTCAATAAAGAAACGATAATTAAGTACAGTAACACAAACATTCAACATTTATTTGTTTAGGAAAAACGTTAAATTCATATTTTTACACCACCTGTATTATTAGCATAAATGTAAAGACTATTTCAGATTTCTGTTGTTGAACTCTGAAAAAATCTTAAGTTGCTGTTTTGGTACCAAATTCTCTCCTGTAAACTGCCCTTTAAATGCATGGGAATGTTAAATCGATTGAAATAACAATTAGGTAGACGATAGGTGAGTTGATATCTTGACAACATAGTTCATTTATCATCTTTATAAAGATATTAAGGCTAAAAAGCATTTTTCTAGCATTTCCGACAGTACTTTAGTTATATGTTGGACAACAGCCGGCCATGCAGTATTGCAATGTTATGCAGTGTGACATTACGTCCCTGTATTTGTGAAGACGGTAGAGCATGATCGTGAACGATGTCGTTCCGGTAGCGTACGTCATTATAATTATCATTAGCGCGTTGTGGTCTCCCACACCATGGCATCTCCATCCCCACTGAGCAATGTAAGTGGCACAGAAACGTCTCCTGAGATGCACGTATCGCTGGACGATGGGACCGGATGTTGTTCTCCATCAGCCGGATGTTTACAGTTCTGCTATTAATAGCTCTCAATCCAAAAACTGTACAAACTGTTTATGTGACAGTCTGATATCGAATCCGTAAATGCACCAACTGAAAGTGGTTGAGTTGACGTGGACACGTGGACAACCGGCCTATTGTGAACTATGAGCCTAGCCCCGTTGTCTTCAAACCGATGATGTAATGTTTTGATGAATATTAAAATGTCTGGCAACTTCGTTTTGAGCCAGTCCTCTTAGCACATCGCTCAGATTTTTAGCAAGCCTTGAAACTGCGTTAGCGTCATGTACAGTTACACAAAGTGTCTCTGAACTACCATAGGGTCCAGTGTGGGCATCATGCTCTCAACAGAACGCATCAATTCAAAATGTTCAAATCGTCATTCACAACCTGAATACCGAAGGGGTGTGTTTATGAATGTAGACTGAGAGATACATTCTCAATTTTCAGAATAAATGTATTGTTATGTAACTGCATAAGACGTTTCGTAAGGATACGTCCAAAGGACAGGACCATTAGAGGTTCGGAGCGCTAAAACGAACACAGCAAAACTTTTGATGACTTGGTTATGTGGATTTGTGTTAATATCTTGGTGGAAATATCTTTAAAAGTTAGAAATAAGTTTATGATTGGTTATAACACGTTGTACATCAAGCATTCAAAATCATTGTAGTTTTAAAATGGTGAACAGGGGTTGCTTTGTGAAGTGACGACTTCGATGAGCAGCTCACAGCACCAAGCAACGATCTAAGTGTATAATCGTAAGACGTTGGATTTACGAATGGATTAAAACGCTTTGTAATTGGGTCGTAAATGAAAGAAAAATTATGTCCATTTTTGTCAGAAACTATGATAATAGGTCACAAAATGTCCAACGCTTTCTGAGCAGCCCAAATCTCCAGGATTCTGCTGTTCATGAATGCAGTGCTGGAAGACGCCGTGCATTAGTTTTGTATTCACATCCCCACCATGACACATTTACACCAGTGGAACTGTCGGGCAGTCACAGAGAACCTTGTACATGCCCATAGTGCTAGAAGCTTGTGGGAGGTTCACAGGGCCGGATACAGCTTTTTGGAGAAAAGGGGGGTGCACACTATTGAGAAAGGAGGGGTGCACACTTCATTTCCACGAGAGTTTCAATGGTCATTTAATAAATTTTCAGGACCAAAAGGGTGGGTGGTGATGTGCACCCCCCTTCTTGTCTGATCCAAGCTGCTACAAGCAGTCATGATGTAACCATCAGTGCGGCGTTAAATAACATTCACCCACCCGCTCAGTAGCATTACTGAAGTATTCCAAACATATCATACCTTGGCCCTAAATTTAGTTTAATCCTCATTCGAAGACCGCCCGCTTTTTTCAGCTACAGGACGGGTATACAACTACGACACGAGGACGAACCAGAGACGCTGGATGAAGACACCCGAAGGGAAACCTGTCCGAGTTACGCATCACTGACGTTGCCATGGAGATGTCAAATCAGCAAAGTATTGATGGTGTTTTCTTCGGTATATTAGTACAGGGGTGATACGAAATACAGGTGTTGGAATAGTGAGTGAGTGAGTTAAGTTTTACGCCGCACTCAGCACTATTCCAGCTAAATGGCGGCGTTCTGTAAAAATCGAGTGTGGAACCGACAATCCAGTGATCAACAGCATGAGCATCAATCTACGCAATTGGGATACGATGACATGTGTCAACCAGGTCAGCGATCCTGACCACCCGTTAGTCGCCTCTTACGACAGGCATGAGTTACTGAAGATCAATTCTATCCAGGATCTTCAAGGGTCTAGTGTTGGAATATCCGTGAAGATTATCTCAATGATTTAACCCGTTTGTGCAGGATGGCATTATCGTTTGAAACTGCAATACATGGCTCTCTCGCCCGTTGAAATGTCCCAAATGTTCTGCACGCGATGCTAATTGTGACATTCCCTTATTGATAGAGGTAAATAACAAACACGTCGCAGTTTGGTGGACACAGAGGCGGATTCGCCGTGTTCTGTTTCCAGCTTTGTCAGCACTATTCCCGTGACCAAAGTCTCTGAGACCTCATCAATTCAGACATTCCTCAAGGTGGCACGCTGTGGTTTAACTCACTCATGTGTATTACAAGATGTCGACATTTGTTCTATTTGAAACGTTTCTTTGAATATAATGGGCGTATTTCCTCGAAAACGAAAGAAGAAGAGTTTCGTATTATTGAAAATGTTTTTTTAAAGACGAACGAACTTAGACAATCAAAGACTGGTGTGTAAACGCTATAGATATGTACACCAAACAATGCATGACATTAAGACATACACCACAGAACCACGAGCGTCTTAACGTCCTACGTTGTCGACTACTTTTTGAACATTGGAGGTACAGTCGACAACTGTTCATCAGATAACACATCTCTTGAGTCTTGTGCTGGTAAATCTAATCTAAACATTATCAGATCCGTGTGTTTATATATTGTGTTGGTTTCCTAATATGTTTATGTCTGACGAATTGGGTTTCCAAGCTGAAGGGTTACCCTGATGGTTTCAGGTTTCCCTGAAGTAACGGGATGTGGTACCGGGACACGTGTGGTGAAGCCAAATGTCTCCCAACCATGATGTTGCAGGATGTTGCCTTGAGAGACATAAACTCACTCACTCACTCAGACGTGTACGGGATGTATCTAAATATTTCAAGTTTATGATCTGAGGTGGAAAGTAGTCATGGCTTGTATGTTACTCCCTTATTCATGTATGAACAGTGTGAACTTTGCGAATAACCATATGTGATGTAACGCGAGGCACTGCACATTGCCCAGCCTGGTGTCCAACCAACCGTGTGATAATATCACAATATGGAGGTTATGTAGGCAACACAAGTCAACCTAACCTTATCTCATTATTGTGTTTACAACAAGTATGTAGATTATGATTAATTCATATATTAAGATGCGATTGATAATATTTTGTTATCAGTCTCAGAAATATGAAATATGTATTTCGGTATTGACATAAAGACGTAAACTGTAACATGTAATTGTTCGGTGTCATATTAAAAATAGGGATGTAATTATTATTTTTATCTTCACGGAAAATATCTGAATATCAATGTATTTGAATTTACTGAAACGGTGTCAGCTTATTACGTGAAGTGACGTCTTTGACAAATGTAAACAATTGTTTATGTGTTATAAAGTGTTAAAGTGAACAGCCATGAAATGGTTAAAGAGTTGGATGAAACGCCCAGGTATGAACGGGAACTCGTGTAAATTAAGATATACAAAATTGTTTCTTTGGCTTTGACAAAAATATACTGATCTTTGAGTATTGAAGGTGCATATTTGACAAAAGATTTAATTCATCTACATCTCAAACTAACATTCGACGATTAACCAAGATGTTGTTCCCTCTCAAGACTCTTCAGGTCTGGGGTTCGAATCCATATTTCGGTCAAAGTTTGATTCTTGGTTTGTCTGTGGCATATTCGCGTTACTAAAACTGTACAGCAAATCTGGTTTTCATGTGACAATAGGCTGACTAATATATCGTTTAATGCAGTGTTAAACTCAACTCACTAACTCACTGAAAGCGGACCGACAGTGGTAGCCCATATAAAAACTCATAATTTTTGGATGGCGAGTCCTGATGTGATAATATCATGACTTGGAGGAATAATTAGAATAACGACCGCTTTGAGAATGTAGTCCTTTGAAGCCCGTCCCTTGAAAGTTGTAAACAAAGCTAAGAACTCACATACTTAATGTGGCGTTTTTGTAAATACAATGTATGTGCGTGCGTATTGCGTGTCTGTGCATTAAAAGTCAGCCGTTGTGCGATACAGCAGGATGACGTCCTTTGTTTGAATAAATTGTGTACACTAACGCAGAACGGACAGTTTTCTTACAAAGGTTTGATACAACTGAAGGTACAACGCATAAAACATCGACATCGATATCACAGAATGCTTGTGTTATAAATAAGACGACATGACTCCTCATGAAGAAAACATGGAAACGTCACAGAAGCATATAATCAACACCTGTCTTTTCCCTGAGCTAGGGCTTAAAGTGTACACTCAACCCTGGCTAATCCGGACAGGATCACACCCAGGACGATCGACTGGATTAACGAATTATTGTTACACAGTTTAATTCCTTACTTTCCAACAGCAGGTTCCGGACAAAGGAGATCTCTGTATATACATCCGTGCATAAAATAAGCACCACACTGTATTTTTACCAATTAATTTTGTCTGAAATGTAATTCTAAACTCATTCCAAAACATAACCTTTATAATTTGATAGAGCAAGCATTCAACATTTCAAAAAAGAAAACATCATTGAAATTAGCATGTACTTTAATTAGGATAATTGCCTGTATTTAAAACAGGTGTTTTTCTGACCGAAAACAAGTTCCCTTATTTTCAAAAGTGAAAGTAATAATTGATTGTTATGTGGCCTATAAATTCGTTATTAATTGTGAATGGATGAAAGTTTTTAAACTAGGATTTCGGAAAAGTTACAGTCAAACTCAAAAACCAACATTTTCTAAAATGTAGTAAAAGTTGCTTTACAAACAAAACAAACAGATTTTAGTTGTAATTATCAGTATCCGGCAAGGAGAAGTGTTTATTCAATAAAATAAACACAAAATCATAAAAGATTTATTCCGAAATCTTATTAATGTGGCTTTCATCCGTTCTTGTCAATTAGCAATCTGAACTGTTGGAAAATGGTCTGAATATTTGGCATTCGGGTTATTCCTGATTATGCATAATTAAAGCTTACTTGATGTGTAAATGTCATCTTGGTATATAACAGAATTGGTATTTTTAGTCAAAACTTAATATAATTGTGTAGTTTGAACAGGAGAGGAATATTTATTTTGGGTGAAAGTTCAGTCCCATCACATTTTTATCAACATATTCTTTCATAAAGAATAAAAATGTTTATGGTATTTGTAAAACTGTCAATGGATAAAACTTCTTTAACCATAAATTGATGGCTATACCCTAACTTTTCTGTAGCATCACATCTTATTTTCAAATTAGGGTGGTACTTAATTAATGCAGAGGTGTGTATATGCTAAATAACATCAACACAGAAAATAAGTTCAAGCACGCCAGGCGCTGTTGTCGTTTCAGATAGACACACGTAACATTTTTATGTACAAAGGTATTAAATAGAAGTTGATATGCATGACCTGGCTATTGAACCTTTGTAGTTGAGGTTTTGTAACAGATCTTAACTGTAACAGATCTTAACTGCAAAAGAAATCTGGGTTTGACCAAAGATGATTTCAGAATGTTACAATGCTGAAAACACAAAAAACGTAGGGTCCAAAACACAAATATGATCCGGTATGAAATACATCACCATTGCATATTAACCACCTGTTTCTTTCATTATTTAGAGTTTGACGGATAAAAAATAAATATAGATATTTCGCAAATTGCTTGAACAATCGGCACCGATCCTGAGCATAAACGTTTATAGTAGATGAGATCATGAAATGTTATATCCTGGTGCCTCGTGGGATATTGCGAGATTAATGGTGAGTGACCTTCACCGAGCGGCCATCAGGTGTCGTTAACCAGTCCCTTTCATTGGTTTTCGAGTTGTAGCTATACACTCGACCTGTTGCTGCAAGAAAAGTGTGAAAAGTGTGAGGCGAGATGCCATTAACAAAATATTGAGAAAGTATAGAAACGTATAAATTAACATTTACTGTAATGCTATGCACAATTCTACCATGACTTCAGTAAACACTGGATTGTGATTGGTTAATTAAAGTCATTCAGAGGTATATAATCACGTTATACAGGTCTCTGTTTTCCGTGCGCAATCATACATGGTTTACGGTAATGCACTATTTTTGTCTGCCCACTAACATGGCGGACACCAAACAACCTACCGATGCATCGATAAATTACGGCGATTTTACTGTCGGAAATTACACATTTGTCTTTAAAGATGGATTTAGCGATGACGGGCTCGACTCACTACTTGCGTAAATCACAGCAATAGGTGTTTATACATACAAAAGTACTTCGAAAGCATGGAAACAAATATTCAGTCGAACAAGATCAAAACATCGTCTGCTTTCCGAATAAAAAATTCAGCAAAAACAAATATGTTTACGTTGATTCTATGTTATGTCAGAATAGATCCAGCAATAGACTGCTACATAATTTCCGTGTTAAATTTATTATCAGCTTTCGTCAACGATATCGCCACTGATCTTGATCCGGTAACGGAGGATGCATTAACATCGAACGCCGAAGAAATTTTAATGCCTGTTACGCAGCAGTGGAAGACTTAAAAATAACTCAACAATTTTTAAAGTTCATTGTAAGTTTACTTATAGAAACATGAACCAACGAAATATTTCAACGACACTATATACAGCAATATGTCCTAATTTGACATAACACGGCACGGTCCTTATGTGACCACCGAAACCATCATATGGTCCAATTGAAAGTCCTTATTTGACTTCTAACTATTATGCCCTGATTTGGCACAAAAAAAGAGACAGTCGCCGACAGCATGGCTGCTCTATCGAAACACAAAAGCGAACTGCCTAGTTCAGTGACAAATGTACACTGTCGCAAGCTATTGCGCCATTCTGCACGTGGTTCACGCACGGCTATCCAGCTCTTTTGAAGTGGTGCGTTCGTGCGAATGTTTGGGTTTGTTCGGACCTTCTGTCCATTCCCCCCACTATGATAACTTCGTGTCTATCATAATTCTACAACATTCATTACAATGTAATTCAAACAACAAATATTCACATTTCACATGTTCTGAACCTGAAAAATAAAAAAAATGTCAGTTCAAAGTTCACACTCATTCTTAAAAGAAACACCATGAGTCCTCTCTGAAAATAAAATTCACACATGTTCACATGAAATCAAATCCTTGAAACGCACATATGTTCCTGTGAATGTTAATGAAATGTCTAATATACATACAATATTGTCCTTTCTGTTCCTCTTCTCTATTCAGTCCTTTTCTCTGTTCCATCCTCTGTTTTCGATCCTGTTGTCTGTTCTGTTCCATCCTGTTGTCTGTTCTGTTCCATCCGGTTGTCTGCTTTGTTCCATCTGTCCATTCCAAAGGACATACTTTTGTAACTGGTCTAGTAACTATGGCTTTGTCTGTTTTAATGTCCACAAATGATCCCAAGCTTCCAACTTCCTCGAGGTGCCTCTGGTGATATAATGGTAACCACATCATCCACTTGTAGATCACGGCTGGGTGAAAACCATTTCCTTCTTGTCTGTAATGATGGCAACCACTCCTTCATCCAGCGCCTCCAGACATGACGCACAAGTTCCTGTACTCTTCTCCACCTCTTCATCGGACTGTAAGCCGTGACATCCACAGAATCCGGAGCAAATACTCCCCCACTTTGACCATGTAAAAAATGGTTTGGTGTCAAAGGCACGTCATCATGTGGGTGAGCACTTTGATATGTCAAAGGGCGGGAGTTTATTAGACCTTCAGCACCAACAAACGCTGTCACCAGCTCCTCATCTGTTATATCTCCAGATCCCAGAATGGCATATATTGCTCGCTTGGCAGCCTTAATCATTGACTCAAACACTCCACCGAAGTTTGGAGCATGAGGAGGATTTAACTTCCAGATCACCCCTCTATTAGCCAATGATGTCTTCACTTTGTCTGTATCCAGTTGAGCAACAAGCTGTTTCAGTTCATTTGCAGCGCCAATGAAATTTGTGCCATTATCTGAAAGAATTTCTTTGGGTAACCCTCGTCTACTAGCCATCCTGTAGAACGCATTAAGAAAAGAGTCACTGTCCAATGCATACGACATCTCCAAATGTACTGCTCTTGTTGCTAAGCAAGTGAAGAGGCACAAATAGCGTTTTTGCCTCGACTTTCCACGTCCCTGAATCGTAAGAAATGGCCCAGCATAGTCAACACCTGTCTGCTCAAAAGCTCTAAGTGAGTACCTCAAACGCATCTTTGGCAGTGGCGCCATTATTTGAGCTGTTGGTTTTGCCTTTTGTCGACGACAATGTGAACATTCCCGTTCCCATTCGCGGATCTCCTCACGACCAGCAATTATCCAAAAACGAGATGACAAGACAGCAAGCATGTGATTTGTACCAATAACATGATTGCCGTCCTCATGATGTTTCTTAACAATCAACTTAGTCACCCAGTGTTTTCTAGGCAAAATGATTGGGAACTTTGTTTGGAACGGCAAATAATCTGCATGTTTGAGTCTGCCATCAGACCTAAGCAGACCATCATCATCCAGAACAGGATGAAGATTAATGAGTTTGCTACCTTTGGAAATGGGTTTTCTATTTGCTATTGCCAAATATTCCTCAGAGAATGCATCTTTCTGTGTATTACAAATGATGCGTTTTTCAGCATCAGCAATTTCTTCTGTGGTTAAGCAACCCTTCTTTCTTTCAGCTGATTTAACAGAGGCATTGCTGAGAAATCTGTACACCCATGCAGTAATGCGTGTATACCTTTTCCAGTCTGAAAACCTAGTAGGTTCCAATAACCAAACTGAATCTGAGATTGTCACGAGCGATACAGATTTGTTTTTCAGTTCAGAGTTGTGTGATGTTTTGACATACACTTTTTGTTCTGGCCATTTGTTTTCAGCACATAACAGAAATTCTGGTCCATGCATCCAAGATGCAGAGGACAGTTTTTGAACTGATGTTCCTCTGGTGATAATATCTGCTGCATTTAACTCTGAAGGAACTTGCTTCCACTGAGAAGTATCAGTGTGCTCCTGAATGAATGCAACGCGGTTGGCTACAAATGACTTAAAGTAACGACTGTGGTTCTTGATCCAACATAATACATTTAGACTATCAGTCCACAGTACTGAACAGGAAGTACTGATTTCAAGGGCACGTGAAACAGCCAACATTAACCGAACTCCCAAAACAGCTGCCATCAACTCCAGCCGAGGAATGGTCACGCTCTTTAAAGGAGCAACCCGACTCTTAGCGGCTGCTAGATGACTTGAACTGTCATCGTTTTGGTAAGTGTTCACAAAATATAAGACTGCACCATATGCTTCTTCAGAGGCATCAACAAATACATGCATTTTTGCTGTTTTGATATGAGATTTCACCTGTAAACATCTGGGAAATCGTAATCCATCTAACTGATTTCTCTCTGTGAGCCACTGTGATGCTTCATTTTTCACATCATGATCGAGCACATCATCCCAGTCAATGCCTGACAACCACAGTTTTTGCATGATGATCTTTGCTCTTAAGTGAAATGGAGCAACAAAACCAAGGGGATCAAACAGTTTAGCTAACTCTGAGAAAGCCTCTCTTGGTAAGTGACAAGTCCTCTTCTATGATTGGACTACGAAAACTGAAATCATCATTCTGAGCTAACCAGACAAGACCTAATGTTTTTGCTGATGGTAACTCATCCTTGGCCAAGTTGACCTCAGATGCTCTATCTTCAACAGGTATGTGTTTGAGGACCTCTGGAGAATTTGATAACCATTTTCTGGATCGCATTCCAGCTTTCCCCACAAAGCAGTAAGCTGTTTGTACAATTCGATACCATCATCCACTTCTGGAACAGAATCCATACTATCATCCATGTAAGTGGATTTACAAACAGTGTCTGCAGCTTTTGGGAATAGATGCTCAAATCTCCTTGCATTTTCCCTAGAAATGTATTGAGCCAGGAAAGGGGATGCATTCATGCCAAAGACTATTCTCCGAAATTCATATATCTGTGGTATTTCGGATTGGTTTAGTGATCTCCACAAGAACCTAAAGTACGAACAGTCTTTGGCTGGAATTCTATTTGTAAATACATTTCAGCAATGTCACAAACCAAAGCTATTTGGTGTTTGCGGAATCTAAGTAATATCTCAAACAAGTCGCCCTGAAGTTTCGGACCCTGGTGTATGATATCATTCAGCGATGTACCCTGACATTTGGCTGAAGCATCAAAAACAACCCTGACTTTGGTTGTACTTCTGTCTGGTCGTATCACAGGAAAATGTGGTAAGAACCACTGACTGGCAGAGGTGTCTTCATTTTCAGAGACAATCCGAATATATCCCTTATCAAGGTAGTCTGAAATAGTTTGATTATAAACTTCAGCTACAGTTGCGTCTTTCAACAGCTTTTTCTCTGTATTACAGAGACGTTTATAGGCCATGTTGTAATTGTCAGGAAGACTTTTTGAATCTGCTTTCCAAGGTATGCCTACCTCGTATTGCCCATTGTCATATGTGACAGATTTTTGCACAATGTCAACAATCGCTTCATCTTGCTTAGTCAAGATGGGTTCTGATGACTGAAACTCTTCTACTTCCCAAAACTTGTGAAGCATAGTGTTAAGTTCAATCTCCTTGTCATTTGAAAAGTAAGTGCTTGAAAGTCTCTGAAGTCCTGATTGTTCAGGAACACATCCCACACATGTCCACCCAAGGGGAGTAAGTCTCGCTATTGGTTCCCCATCAGAACCAGAAACATCCTCATAAGAGCGATGTAATTCAAGATAATCCATACCTATCAGTAAATCTACAATGTGAGGGGCTTTTACCTTAGGGAACTGAATATGTTGCAAATGCGACCATCGCTTGGAATGCTTTTGCCAGTCAACAACTTGCATTTGACCGGTGACCCGAGTGGTAGTTAAAGCAGACATTGTCCGATCAACTGACCCATCCATGCTTTCAAGACCGAAGTGAACAGCCATGGTCTGAAATTTCTTACTTTGTCCATTAAGAACATTGACAGAGACATTTTGTACTTGACCGACTAAGCCCAATTGTGAGGATACATCTTCATTAATGTACGTTTGTGTACTTGCGTCGTCTAACAATGCATTTACAACAATTCTGTTTGGGCCGTTTTTAAGAACAACAGGTACCGTCCGAAGTGAAAGAAGTGTAGACTTATCAGGTTTTGTGGACGACATTGTAGTGACCTTGAAACTTGAGCTTCATAACTGTTACTTGTCTCAAGTTGCTGTGCTTGCTGTCTATTGTCCTTGTTGCCATTAGGTACGCCATGGATACTGTTATTTCTCTTTGAATGGAGTAACTGATTATGCAAAGCAGGGCAGTTGTCAATACCACATTTGATATTGCGTCTGCATGTTTTTCCAAAGTGATTGAAACCAAAACAACGGAAGCAAAGCTTTAACTGCTTGATAGTTTCCCATCTCTTCTGAACCGTCATTGCTTTGAATTTTCTACATGTCACAATGTCATGGTTGTCCATATGACACAGCTGACATCTGTGGTCTCTTTCAGTCTGCTTATTGCCAAAGAAAGACCCTAACTTGTGAGGACATTTATGGATTGTTGTCTTTCCTTTAGCAGATACCCCATGGATTGTTTCCGAAGCAATAATCTGGAATTCTGCTTCCATTAAAACCAATTCACGTAACGCTTCAACTGATTCCTGTCGTTGAGCTTCAAAAATCCATCTTTGGTACTGACTAATCATGGATGCCGTCATTTTCTTCAGGAGTTGAACATACATAGACCCATTACCTAACTCCTCAAACCTGTCAGAATCCCTCATGTTTACAACAACTACATCCAACATATCAGCAAACTGTTCAAAGTCTTTTGCATTGCCAGGTCGCACTGGCCTGAACGATGATATTTCTTCCATTTGGAGAGCAATATGACGTCTCTTGCCACCAAATTTACGTTCCAACCTTTCAAGTGCTACCCCATATGCTGTAGCGCTATGACCCAAGTCTTGAATAACCTTTCATTGCATCACCACTTACATATTGGCGCAACTAAAGCAATTTATATTCTGGTGTGGCAGGTGCTTTGTCTATACATGCTATAAATGCAGCCTTCCAGGCTTCATATGACTTGGCATCTCCAGTAAAGACAGGTATGGACACTCGTTTCAACTGCTTCCACATGTCTTTACCAATGTCATAACTATGTGAAAGTGTAGGTGCCCTATGATCATAACTATCTGAGTGGTCCCTCACCATGTGAACTGGTTCATTGTTTTGTTCATGAATGCCTGACTCACCTGTGACTAACTTTGATAAGTAGTATTGTTTGTCCTATTCCTGAGATAATCTTGTGCATCATCTTGAGCTTTAGTACCTATTTCTTCTAACAGTTCACCTTCTTCAGTGACCTTAGACATTTTTTGTTTATCACCAACAGTTTCCAACATTTCTGACAGGTTCACGATAACTTCCAAAGCCTTAAGCTGGCAATTGCTTAATTTGTCTATAGCTTCCCGAACTTCTATTCTTGATGGAATCTCTTCTTGTTCAATTAACTTCTCCAAAGCATTTTTCGACTTAGTGAAAGCTGACTTAACTATCATTTTTTGCCGCTTAAGATTGTTTTCTTACTTTAGTTTCATAACCCTGTTTGTCAACGTTTGAAATACCATCAGACTCAGGTAGAGATATGTCTGCAACTGTCTCAAGTGTAAGCTCTGTTTTGTCTAGTTTCCCCTTCAAGGGAGAAGTCACACCAGTACGAGACATGTTTATAATCCAACACGTGATCAACGAAGTTCATCAAAATTTTACTTACAAGCCCAAATCTATATGTACGCGGTACAATGCAGCGTACACCTAAACAAAGCAACGGTTTTAGATAAACACAATACACACTTGTGCTTTATCATACAACCATGTTGCAACATAAGCATTGAAAACACAATGTCTAATGAAATCACACTTATGTGTGATAAAGCAAAGAATGGTATCGCAACAACCACGTTCTGCTACCATTTGTTACGCAGCAGTGGAAGACTTAAAAATAACTCAACAATTTTTAAAGTTCATTGTAAGTTTACTTATAGAAACATGAACCAACGAAATATTTCAACGACACTATATACAGCAATATGTCCTAATTTGACATAACACGGCACGGTCCTTATGTGACCACCGAAACCATCATATGGTCCAATTGAAAGTCCTTATTTGACTTCTAACTATTATGCCCTGATTTGGCACAAAAAGAGACAGTCGCCGACAGTATGGCTGCTCTATCGAAACACAAAAGCGAACTGCCTAGTTCAGTGACAAATGTACACTGTCGCAAGCTATTGCGCCATTCTGCACGTGGTTCACGCACGGCTATCCAGCTCTTTTGAAGTGGTGCGTTCGTGCGAATGTTTGGGTTTGTTCGGACCTTCTGTCCAATGCCTTCCGTCCACATAAATAAACAGTTGGGTTATCAATTCAAACAAAATGATATTTTGAAATTTGTACTGTTTCAAATTTAGAGGTAGTAAAACACAATAACAGAATCTGCAAACCGTTCTGTTTAGCCCAACATATTTTTTTCTAAAAGTATATAATATCGTTGAAAAAGTTATTTAGCTTAGTCATGATCCCTCTTATCCATTACATTGCTTGATCTAAAGTAGTCTATAAAAGTATAATTAATTACCTTACCGTGTTTATGCCAGAGGTACACCCTCATGTCCTGATCCATCCTTTCGGAAATATCACCACAAATCTGGCTCTTTGTCAACAGACTCGCGAACATGCCAGCGAATCCGATTCAATTTGAATTCACTACACTTTGAAGCCACTAGGTCACAAAACACTTTCCAAAATGTAGAAAATAATATCCGTAGAATCGAATTTGAGCAATCAAGTACACACATGAGTGTGTAAGAGTCACCACAGCTGTCGCACGCAGACGTAGAGGTGCGTGAAATCGTCAAGTTGACAGGGCGCAAAATTCAACAGTATCTAAATTCGGTACAACACGGACTTTTCGTTACAGCAAAGCGCCCCTACTCTTAAATTTTGTACCAGTACCAGTAATTAGATATCAAAGACTATCTCAGTCATACAATCAGGTTAACCTTTGCGCAAACTGTCAGTGGCTCTCCTGTCGCATCTTTCCAAATGTAAACAATGACTTCGAGAAAAGGTCAAGGCCATGGAGGTTGCTGCCACTATTCTGGTGGGGAAAGGGTCTACGGTGGAATTTTCAAATGTGAACCAAGCTTTTAAAACTTATTTGATATATGTTTTCCAACTTATCAGTTAATGATTGGTGATTGATGCATTGAAAAACAAAACGTGATTTGTTATTACTGAATCTGGAGTTTGTTAGTCATTGACGGTTTGCCACCAAACACCCCGTTTCGGGCGATACCACGTGAGATTGGAATGCGAGGCCGCTTCACGTATTGACTCGTAACCAAAGAAAGAGCTCCACCTGAAATTGTTCATAAAATTGTCATAGAATGGAGATAACCTATTGTGTTGGAAAATCAGAGGTATATAACGAAATATAATAGTTCTAAATTGTTCATTTAAAACCTCACGCTACGCGTTCGGTTTTAAATGAAATTTAGAGCTATTATAATTTCGTTATATACCTCTGATTTTCCCACACAGTAGGTTTATCTCCTAATTCTAAGATGCTTTGGTGAAAGATCAAAGGCGCCGACAGCACTTTATCAGACGATAATGTGCATTTTTTCATTACGTCACAATGTAACCGACGTCACAATGCATGTCAGTTGTCATCGCCTCGTACAGCCTCCTACACTAACTTACTCCATTTCATCCCGTTTCTTGGTTTGCAGTTGCTTCACTCAGCTAACATGAGTGGTGGAAACATTACGTTGATGTTTTCCAATGGATAAAATGCCTCAGTTCGACTTACAGCGACACGGTAACATTCGCGAAGTTTACATTCCCACAATGCAATCGTGGAATGTCGCTTGACTCGCCAGCTTCATCTGGATGTACTGATCAAAACTTAACGTTGGTAGTAGAAATGCGACGTTCATATTGTCAAATATGGTTTACGTTAATCACAGTAATTAAAATAATTTAGAGAAGATATTTAACCCGAACGTAAACCGTCATCAAACTGTTATCATTTGTTTTCCTGTTAACGTTCCACTTTCGAAAGTGTGCTTTATTGCACTATACATAGTGGTAGAACGAACTGTATTTCTTAATTAACACATATTCTAACGATTACGTGTACTTATCATATACATAGGGTCTCATCTTCCCGAGATGTCAACGTCCAGTTTCCACAATTACTAAACAAGCCTGGAAAGTCAGATTATGTTTGGGCTGGAATTATGAGTATATGCTTCGTCCAATCGAAATAGCATAAAAAAAAATATAAAAAATAAAATTAAAAATCGACATCCGATTCCTAACAACATTGTGAGTGAGGTGAAGATTTCAGTCGATAGCAGGATTTGCAGAGTATGTGTACCGTCAACTCGCGTCGACAGATATACTCCAGGTGTTTGACCCTTCACTTAGTCTGAACCTACTGTTGCAGTACTGTGTGGGCCCCTCATACCTCAAGGCCAATTTCGGCGGTATGATGGAGAGCGATGAACGACTACTGGTGGACAGTTAAATAACAGCCAATAAATTCCTTCAAGAGGCAATCTAATCAACACCTTAATTTGAATATAATATCCCTCCATCGATTCCATTCTACTCCTACTTCTGTTAAACGATTATTGAAAGACAAAACACACCTCTGGAAAAATATACCCAGAAGTGGCTACAGTGTTAAACAAGCAGACTTCTCGCAAGATGTCCCGTTGTATTACAGAAGCATATTAAAATATGATTTCACCTTGGGAGCCCAAACATATGACAGACTTGGTTGTCCAGATACCGAAGAATTATCTTCAACGTATTTCACATTTGTTGGAGTAAACAAGGTGATGTGAGTACCAACGTGAATCAGCTTTATGCACACTTAACGTAATATATTCTAACGAACTCAGCACGCTGCATTAATCATTGACGCTGACGTTTTGAAGACATCAATACAATATGTGTGACACCATGCAACCCGTTACACATACAACCCAACCTCGCCCTGTGAAAACGTTGTTAATCCGAACTATTTCTCATGGAGAAGACTGGATGAACGGTGTTACGGCCAACAAAGGTTCCAGACACCTGGCTGTCCCTTTCTCTGCACTCCTCCCTCGTAACAAATAGTGAACTGTGTAAATATTTTAATGATAGTTTGTTAAACAACTTTTTTATTTTTAGGACATAAATTCTGCAAAAACCTCACAGAGTAGGTCTGACGTTTTCATTTTGATCAGTGTTTCATTGAGTATTTTATGGTTATTAGTTTTCGAGTTAGATTGCATTCATCTGTCCGCTTTTGAGCCAAACGGACTATAGATAAGGAGAAGGGTAACACGACTACAGCGTCGCCAAACATAACCGTTATCGAGGGTTTGATTTGGGGTGGGATCAGTAGAGCTGGAGGAACCAATCCCTATGTCCAGTAGCGGGGTACGGTGACAGGTGAGTGCTACGCTCCATGGCCCAACAGAATGAATTAAAAAGGTCCAGCTCAAGTCAAGAATGGTATGGCAAGTCGATATTTTCACTCTGGAATCGGATATAGTTCTGGACTACCTGGATTTTTGAACCCGGTAGCTATATTTGAGGGACTGAATGCCAATATAGGTGTGCACTACAGGGAAGTAAACGAGCGCCCGTATGCTGGTGTTTATAACGAGATTTCATCCTCAGGGATGCTATTATCATTGCATAACCGGCACTCTGCGAAACGTCCTTCAGATAACCGACTCTCTCCAACGTGATCACACGATAACCGACTCCATCCAACATGCCCACCCGATAAATGACCCTCTACAAT